GATGATGATGATGATGATGATGATGATGATGATGATGATGATGATGATGATGATGATGATGATGATGATGATGATGCTGATGCTGCTGCTGCTGATGATGATGATGATGATGATGATGATGTTGGTGATGATGATGATGCTGATGATGATGATGATGATGATGATGATAATGCTGATGCTGATGCTGATGCTGCTGATGATGATGATGATGATGATGATGATGATGATGATGATGATGATGATGATGATCCTCTGGCGCAACCTACGGCGAATTCTATGGCGCAACCCTTAGCAGGCGGCTTTATTCTAGTCCGCGGAGTGTGCAACCTATGGCGCAACCTACAGCATTGGGCTTTACTCACGAGAATTTCACGATTCCGCCGGCCCCCGGAGGAGCTGATGTTCGGCGCCTATTTTCGTATGTGTTGTTTTCCACTCCCCGTCGTACTGCTTGCGTGTAGCTGTTGGCTAATTTGTCCTCCTTCCTCGGCGACTGTCGAGGGCTCCTCGGGAGCCTGTTGGAGGCCTCGGGGGCGGCCTCCGGGGGCACATCGGGGGTCTTGGGGGAGGGCTCCTTGAACCTTCGCGAGGGCACGGACTCGGTTTGCTGGAGTCGTCGCCCGTGCTCGGTTCGCCGGGGCTTGCTTTGCCCGGGCTTGGTTCGCCAGGGCTCGCTTCGCCAGGGCTTGATTCGCCCGACTCGATTCGCCCAGGTCTGTTCGCTGGGGGTCGATTCGCTGGGGCGCTGGATTAACGACATGTGCAGTTTCATGTCAAGACGCAAAGGAATGTTCTTCCAGACTGCTATGAGGCACTAGATGCTGTTCACCTGCTGCTGATGAGGTGTGCCACACGAGAGCAGGATTTTTGTCAGGCGCTTTGAGCTGTAGTGGGTGCTTGGGCCCCAACCCGCGGCACGTACAGGGTGCGCAATGCGGGTCGCAGTCGGTTCGCTGGGGCTCGGTTCGCCCGACTCCTTTCGCCGGGGCTCGTTTCGCAAGGTCTCGCTTCGCCAGGGCTCGTTTCGCCTGGGCTCGCTTCGCCAGGCGGGCGGACCCCAACAGGCGGGTCGGGTCGGGTGGGCGGACCCTAACGGGCCAGGTCGGGTGGGCGGGACATCCAACTCCTCCTCTTCCTCCTCCTCCTCCTCCTCCTAAGTATGACGCGTCATCGAGGCAGCACGCGCGAGCCCTATCGGGCAGGTCGCTTCGGGCGGGCGGACCCCGACGGGCGGGCCGGCGGGCGAGCGGCCACCGCCTGGTCGAGGGTTGAGGCCGGGCGAACCTGGCCAGGCGAATCGAGCGGGGCGAACCGAGCCTGGCCGAACCGAGACTCGGGCGAATCGAGCCGGGCGAATCGGGCTGGGCGAGTCGAGCCCTGGGCGAATGGAGCCAGGCGAATCGAGCCGTGCGAATCGAATCGGGGGAATCGAGCACGGCCGAATCGAGCCATGCGAATCCAGCCGGGCGAACGGAGACTCGGGCGAGTCGAACCTATGCCCCTGCGAGTTCCCCCTCGTTGGTCCTCTCTAGGGTTGGGGCCCTCTTGAGGGCCTTTCTGAATTTCTTGGGGCACTCTTGGGCAGTCCTGGGATCCTCTTTGGGGCGTCTTGGGCTGTCATGAGCCAGTCTTGGGGGCCTCGCGGGCCGCCTAAGGCTTGCACGAGCCCGACAGGGCGAGAACGCGCACGTCATTCATCACCGTGTGGACATCAATGTCGTGTGCCTCATGGGGGTCTCTTGGGGGTTCTCTTGGAGCACTCCGTGGGTCTCCTTGGGGATCTCTTGGGTCGTCTTGAGGCCATCCTGGGTGTTCTCGAAGCATTTCTGGCGTGTTGGAGCCTGTTTTGAGCAATCTTATGAGGCATCTTGGGCGGCATCTTGGAGGCAACGGGTGATGGATTTGGAGGCTTCGAGGACCCCACTGGTGCGTTGACGAGTTCGTCCCTTCCTTCCCCTCGGCCCTCCCCCCCACTTAAACAAGATATGGCTCTGGGGGAGGGGGAAAGGGAGAGGAGGACAGCAAAGTGTCCCACACGCCTTTCCCCTCCGGCAAGCGGGGTCGGCGGATTTTGGGCCGTCAAGTGCGCAACGAGTTGCGTAACCAATAGCAGGCAATTTAGTTTTGGGCCGTGGAGTGCGCCACCTATGCCGCAACCAATAGCAGGCCGTAATGCTATTGGGCCGCGGAGTGCGCAACCTATGACGCAGGGAACAGCAGGCTGCTTTATTTTCGGTCGCGGAGTGCGCAACCTAATGTGCAATCCATGGCGCACCCAACGGATGGCGCAGACCATGGCGCAGCCTACTGGGCAACCAGCTCCACCTATTGTCTCAGAGGGCGCCGTCGTATGGCGGCGCAATCCTTTTCTTCGGCGCACCACTCACACGTTTCGCGGCCCCACAGGGAGCTGCACCTACGGCCCCACTGGGCGCCGTCGTCTGGCGACGCCGTCCCCACTTGTGAGAGGGGCGTGCCGAAGTCTTCGGCGCAGTCCTCACAAGTTTGGCGGCCCCATAGGGATGTCCACCTACGGCTCCAGTGGCAGGGTCCGCATGTCTGCGCCGTCCATTCTGGCGCACCCCTCCCAAGGACAGTGGCCCCATAGGAAGCTCCGCCTGCGGTCCTAGTCACAGGGTTCGCATGGCTGCGCTGCCCAGTTCGGTGCACTCCACGGTGATCGTGGCCCCATAGGAAGCTCTACATACGGCCGCAGTGGCAAGATCCGCATGGCAGCGCCGCCCATTCCGGCGCACCCATCAACCCAGAGGGAGGGCTTACATTGCGGCGCCGCCAGTATACTTTTCACGAGGATTGCATCCCATAGGGGGTTCCACCTACGACCTCAATGGGAAAGTTTCTATGCGTACTTCTACCGGTTTCGGCACACCTGTCACCCCGTCACGCGAGGCGCACCTACGGCCTAACTGGGATAGTTTGCATGCGTTTCCCCTACGCACTTCGGCGTACTTTTGAAACGTCTGGTGTCCTTGTCATAAGTGGTTTCTTATACGGCCCAGTGGGAAAGTTTGCATGCGCCCTCCACCAATTTAGGCACATCCCTCATATGGCTCGTGCATGGAGGGGCTTATCAGCAACGTTACACGAAACTGTTCAGAGTTGGGTCCCTCGCCAGGCTCATTTTGTTTTGCTTCGCCTGCGCGGCGCTGGCGACTATTTTTTCCAATCCTCCTGTGTTATTAGGTCCTCGGTTTGAATTCCCAAAGCCCCGCATCATCTCCTTCCTTCTTCCTCCTCCTCCCCTCCTCGTCTTCTTTTTCCCGTTCACCACTACCTGCAAGAAGCGAGTCAGAATCCCCTTTTCGGCGAAGCTGTACAGCTTCTCGCCCCTCAGAACTGATATCATGCCCCCCCGATCCCCTCAGTGCGGGATCCCTCTGAGATCCTTGCAGGTTTCCAACAAGACTCCAACCGGATTCCATTGAGAACCCAAAACAATTTCAAGATGGACCCAGTAAGTTCCCAATGTGATTCCAATCGGATTCCAATCAGATTTCAATAGGGTTCAAAGAGGCTTCTAGTACGACCCCAACCGGATTCCAGAAGAACTTTCGGATTCTCATGAATTTCGAATCCGAATTCAACAGGATTCCAAACGGATTGCAACAGGATTCCAACAGGACTCCCATAGGGGGATCCCACACATTTTCCAGTAGAGGGTTCCAATCGGTTTCCAATCGGATTCCAAGAAACACCCAATCAGATATCAATAGGGTTTCTAACACTATTCTAATACTCTTCTCATCGGATTCCATAAGGATCCTCAATTGCTCTAATGTGATTCCAATCATGTTCTGGTCGGATTCCAAGCAGATCCCGATCGGATTCAAATGATTCCAATTTGATTTCAATCATATTCCATTACATTCAATGTTATTATTTTTCCTGCCCCAACCGCGGCAACTATAGTGTCGGAGTTGCTTTGCTAAACAATTCGATCGGTGCGGGAGAGATGTTTTGGCGTGGTCTACGTCTCAGAGCAGCAGTACCATCTTTTGACAAGAGGTCCCTAGCACAATTTACGAATCTGCAGACTCTCCTCTTTCACTCTTTCTCTCTCTCTCTCTCTTTCTCTCTTGCGCATTCTCTCTCTCTCTCTCTCTCTCTTTTTTTTTTTTTTTTTTTTTTTTTTTTTTTCTCTCTCTCTCTCTCTCTCTCTCTATCTCCCTCCGTTTAATGTTTTGCCAGTATCTCTCCACCCCTCTCTCTTTCAATCCTTTCCGCTTGTTTTCCTTTTGAAGTACCCAGGAGGATCGTCGTCGTCGTCGTCGTCGTCGTCGTCAACGTTGTTATCGTCGACCACGGCGGGCCCACGCAGGATCCCCCCCAGGGAGTTCGCAGCGCGTCGTCGTCGTCGTCGTCGTCGTCGTCGTGGGGGTCGTCGTCGTCGTCGTCGTCGTCGTCGTCGTCGTCGTCGTCGTGGTCGTCGTCGTGGTCGTCGTTGTGGTCGTCGTCGTCGTTGTCGTCGCCGTCGACCATCGCGTGCCCACGCGCCCCTCCTCCCCCCCCGAGGGGCATCCGCAGTGAGTGAGTCGTCGTCGTCGTCGTCGTTGTCGTGGTCGTTGTCGTGGTCGTCGTCGTCGTGGTCACAGATCGATCGAACTTTGACAACGAATGCAGAAATATGAGGGCTAGGAATACAGTCGTGATTGTTTGCGACGTTTGATTTTTCTCTCAACGTTGGATCTCCAGAATCTCAGGGAAAAACGGTGACCATGACCAAGGTGTCGCGGGATCTTGTCCACGCCGATTTTGGTCATGGGCCATGCCAGCCGTCGCCAGTTCATGAAGATGATCCACGAATTGACGATGACCAAGATGGGCGAGGGTCAAGACCGACACCGACATTTCTGCGTGCAGTCTTGGTCTTGGGGTCCGCGTTCTCTTTCCCACCATGGGGGTGTTCGGCTCGGACATCGAACACTCCAGAAGCATGCCATACCACTCACGGCACTCCACCACTTTACATCGTGCAGGAGCGGTGGCGGATTTGCCTTCGGGAGTAGGAGCCATGGAAGACGGCGCTGCGGCAACGACGTGTGCGAGCCTCAAGCCATGCCATTAGGGCGACGGGACCTGTACGCGTCCTCTGTCTCAGGCCTGGCTCCAGGGCCCAGGAGCGGTACGCACGCCCTTCTGGCTCGGCCAGGGAGGCATACACACCGCTTACGCGGGGCCCAGGATGGTCCAGTTCTGGGGCAGTGAATGTGTGCAGATCTCGTTGCCCTAGCCATGGAAGACTCCACTGTGGACCCTCGAGCTGCTCCGCGAAATGCCCCAGGACATCGGCGTCACCCAAACATACTCATGCTATGCGTGCGTCGCTCCCCCAATGGGGCGACGCGCGGCGGGCCTTCTCTGGCCATGCCACTCGGGAAGCGATCTGCTATAAGACTTGTGTACTTTGCGTTCGTGTCAGACGGGCCCCTCCAATATCAGCATATAGTACTAGTATCGAGGGCCGCCACGAGGGCGCAAAGTGTTCCGCGGCTCGCTCGCGATTCGCGCTTCCTCATCCTCATCCTCCTCGTCTTTCTCTTCCTCCCAGGGGGCGGCTCGAGAGCGTGAAGTGCTCGCACTTCGCGCTCCACGAAGCGCGAAGGCCGAAGTCAGCTGCCCTTGAGAGTGTCCTTCCCCAGACATGTGATGTTTTGTTTTTTGAAACGGGGTCCCCGGAGCCGTTTTCATATCGCGAGTCGTCGTTTGACGATCCCGGGGCCCGGCGAGGGCTCCCGGAGGCCGAAAACGGCCAAACCTTTCTCGCTTTTTTTTGTGTCTTTGATTGCTTGATTTTTCTCACACAGCGCGACCATGTCTGCGTCTGCGTCCCAGGGCGGCGTGCGACCAGAGCGGGGACGAGCACTGGGAGAGCATCGACGCCCTCGAGGAGGGCGACGCAGCGCGCCGTCCGTCGAGGACCGCCGCGGTGCCCGCCTCGCGCCCGCCCGCCTGGTCGGGCCGCCGCGCCCCCAGGCCCTCGAGGGGGGCAAAGGCACGCGCGCAGACGCAGCGGGCCGGCGTGGGCCTCGAGCAGGAAGGGGTTGTCCAGGAGGGAAGGAAACCCGCACACAGACACGATGAATCGTGGGCCCCCAGGAAGGTGTGGGGAAGCATGGGAAAAGGGGGGGGGGGAAGACAGAGACCCCGAGCAGGTGGGAACATGCGGGGAGTCCTGATGTTTGTGTGTGTGTGTGTGTGTGTGTGTGTGTGTTTATTTGTGTGTCCCAGGGCCCCTTGAATTGCACTGTGGCGGCGGAAGATCTGCTGTGTAGGCTGTGCGGTGGGCGGCAGCGAGCGGCAACGGGCGGGGGCGTGGCGAATCCTCGACGCACCGGCGTGAGCGGCAGCGGGCAGCAACGGGCCGGAACGGGGCGAATCTTCGACGCATCCACCGAATCTCTTCTGGAAGCAAAACAGGACCCCCTAAGTGCAAGCAGCGTTTGGGTAACACACGTATATCTTCGGAGCTCCGCGCGGAGCCCACCCGGACGGGATCGCGTCGTATAAGAAACGGCGGGAGGTGTGTGGCCGTTTGCGGTCTCCAGGCCTCCCTCGTTGGGCCCTCGTTGGGCAGTCCGCAAGAAGACTCGCAGAGAGAGACTGACCCGGGGGAAGGTTCGTCCTCCTCCTCCTCCTCCTCCTCCTCCTCCTCCTCCTCCTCCTCCTCCTCCCCCTCCTCCCCTCCTCCTCCTCCTCCTCCTCCTCCTCCTCCTCCTCCTCCTCCTCCTCCCCCTCCTCCTTGCAGAGAAAGACTCGCAGAGAAAGACTTCTGCGGACCCCGTGCTGAACAAAATCAGGACATCGCGTGTCTGGGAAGAAACCGGCGCGGAGCTCCGAACATATACGCTTGATTCGGAGGCAGCCATCGGGTCTGAGCTGGAAAAGCCGAGCGAAGATGGGTCAGAAGGCGGAGAATGGACCAAATTTGTCCAAAATCGGTCCCTATAATTACCCTTCCAAGGGTCGAAACTGTCAACTCTTTCGAGCCATGTCCAGCGGTTGCGACAAAGGGCCCCTTTCTCCTCCCTCTCTCCTGGCTGGAACCAGTGTTCGCCCACCTCGGCCCTCAAGCCAGCTCCAACGTTTGACAGTTGTTCTTCCTCTTTCGGCGTCGCCCAAACATACTTATTACTATGTGTGCGCCGTCCGGCCAGGGGCGCCGCCTGCGCTGAGGAATACGATGTTATATGCTTTCAGAGGCGACGACAGGGGCGAATAGCCCAGTGAAGAGCAAAACATGTATCCAGGGGCGCCGATGATCTATGTCTTCGACAAGGCTCCCAGGCGAATACATGTAATGCCCGCCCCTGGGCTATTCGCCCTTATCGTCGCCGCCGATGCTTGGTGGCAGACGGGTAACGATGCACTATCAGATATGTATACTATATGTTTGGTTCTGGCGTGCGCCTCCAAGGGGAGCGCATAGTAATTTCTGGCTATGTGGAACATTCTGGAGGCCTCGCGCGGCGCGCTCCGTCAGATACGGATTGACGTTCGCGCGGCGATGCTCCGACGTGTGTCGGACGTCTGTCCGACATAAGTCCGACGTGTATCCGACGTGACCCGACGTGAGCCCGACGTACATCCGACGTACATTGGCTTTCAACTTGCCGCGCGAGGCCTTCGCACTCGTACTCGTAAGCGTAGCGCTCGTGTGCCCTAACAGCCTCGTGCTCACAATCGCAGTGCTGTGCACGTCCTGTATGCACAGCATGTGAACTGGATTTCCCTCGCGAGCATGCTGCCCGTGTGCCCTTCTGCCTCCCATGCTCAGGCCCGCCGAGGCGCGGCCGGGTGGCCTCGCCCCCGTGGCCCCGTGCCCGGGCCGCAGCGCCCCGCCCCGCGACGGCGTCAACGACGCCCTGGGCCTCCTCCGCGACGCCACCATGGCGGCCCCCGCCGCCGAGGGAGAGGGCCGGGCCGGGCCTGCGGCGGAGATCGGGCAGTGCCAAGAGTCTGCACGAGCAAAAAAGGGGCACGGAAAGAATGCATATTTTGCACAGGACTCGCTCCCCGCGCCGCCGCGGCCCGTGTCCGCTCGAGGCAGGAGGCCGCCTGCCCCACAGCGGCCGCTACTGGTTTGGGACAGCACCTGCTGCTGGGCACCGTGCCCGGTCTTTCCGCACCCACCTCGGGCGCCCCCAAAACAAGGGGGGGGGTCACCGCCTCAGAGGCCCGAGGCTCGGGGCAAGCCGAGCGGCTGGTCTTGGGGCCAGGGTCGGCCTCCCGGGGGGCCCTCGGCGCTGCCCCGGGACGGAGATCCGGCCCCGGGGGCGCGGTCTTGGCCTGCAGGGGTCCCCGCGTATATCGAGCACACTGAAGCGCCGGGTGTCGAGGCCTGCAGTTCCACTGGTCTGAGCGCCCAGGATGCGGACGGAAGTTCTGGGTCCGGCGTCCAGCAGCAGCGCGTGTTCATCTGGAGCAAGATTTGCCGTCCCTCGAGTCCTGCGAGGGCCGCCTGCCAGACAGCACGTTTGAATTCACGTCTGTGCATCAAGACTTGTCCATTTGACTGCACTAGTTGTCCACTTGGACAAGAATCGCTGTCATGACGCCTACATCGATTCATTGCCTGGTGGGCGTCGAAGGACAGTACATCTGATTCGAGACGCTTCGCGTTCACCGCCCGCCCACTCCAGTTCCCGCCAGACGAGGCGAAGACGGCTCCACGATTGCATGAACACATGCAGAAAATCATACAAGACCCCCCGCAGGTGTGTTTTGTCGTTTTTGCCTACGCTCAATTGTTGTTCTCAACCCGTAGCCTGTTGAGGTCAGGCATGCCGTGTGGCTGATCGATCGTAGATTTGCCGCTTGGTCGTCGTCCCGTGATCAGTACTGACGGATCAGTGATGTGGACGTTAGCTCTCTGGGCCCTTGTTTATTTTCCACGCCAGAAATAACCCGAGCACTGCCCAAGATCAACCAGCAACGGCCCGAACGCTGCTTGAAAGGAGCCAAGCAGGGACCCATATGGCTCAGGCGGGCGTTGAACGGCCGAAGCAACAGCACGTCCGTGTTGGGCCGTAACTCCGTCGGAATGCCATTGAACATCGAGCTGGTTTGTGGCGGGTTTGGGCTTTGTTTTGTTGCCCACGCGAAATCCAGGAGGGTCCAATATTGATTTTGTATCGAATCCACAAGCGACGTAGGTGTGGAAGCAGGTGTATTTAAGTACAGCACGACTTGTAGGTCGCAGGTAGACGTCATGTTCTGCTTGGGCGTGAAATTAGGTATGGCGTGCGGCGTCATGTCACTGCATGCCGTGGCACTGGACGCGCTGCCCGAGATGTAGTGGCCTTCGTGCTGAGGCTGTAAGTTCCGAAGCCTCTTGGATGCTGCTCGGCGTTGCGTGAAATGCCTTGTGGAGGCATATGGATACTGTAACGTGTTTGCGTTGGCGCAATCGGTCTGACTCAAGTAGTACCGAAGCGGTATCGTGAACGTCATGTTGTGGATTCTTGCGAGCGTGGTTCCCTGGTGCTAGGGAAGTGTGTCGGATGCGTCATGGCTGAAGTGGCATCGCAGTGGTACCGCTTGAAACATGTCGATCGAATGGGGGTGGGATTGGAAACCGTGGAGGAGCAGGAGGAGGCGGATGATGATGATGATGATGATGATGATGATGATGATGATGATGATGATGATGATGATGATGATGATGATGATGATGATGATGATGATGATGATGATGATGATGATGATGATGATGATGATGATGATGATGATGATGATGATGATGATGATGATGATGATGATGATGGATGATGATGATGATGATGATGATGATGAGGAAGGGCGGAGGAGGAGGAGGAAAAGGAGGAGGATGAGGAGGATGAGGGAATTGGCGGATGATGATGAGGAGGAGGGAGGAGGAGAGGAGGGAGGAGGAGAGGAGGAGCAGGAGGATGAGGAGGCGGAGAAGGAGGAGAGGAGGAGGAGAGGAGGGAGGAGGAGGAGAGGAGGGAGGAGGAGGAGAGGGAGGAGGAGGAGAAGGAGGAGGAGGGGGAGGATGAGGAGGAGGAGGAGGACGGAACGGAGGAGGAGGATGAGGAAGGGAAGGGGGGAGGGGGGGGGGAGGAAGATGAGGAGGACGAGGAGGAGGGGGAAGCGGAGGTGGAGGATGAGGAGGTCGAGGAGCAGGTGCAGCAGGAGGAGCAGGAGGAGGAGACGAGGAGGAGGAGGAAGAGGACGAGGAGGAGGCGGAGGAGGAGGATAAGGAGGAATGGAACTAATACCGAAACTAATAATCACAAGAGTTTTCAACACAGTAGTCAAACTAGAATAATCATGGTAATACCACTAAACTAATAAGAACGACATAAACTACTAATTCGAACAGTACTAACACTACGACGAATACCAGCACCATCGCGACTAAACATAAGAAACCTACTAATCCTACTCGCATGAACCATACCTAGAATAACCACCAAACTTATAGACATGATGATAATGAGTTTACTAATCATACTAATGGTATGAAGACTGATAAGAACACTGCGACAACGACTAAACCAACCTTATGACTATCCATACTACTACTACTACTCCTCCTACTACTACTACTACTGCTGCTGCTGCTGCTGCTGCTGCTGCTGCTGCTGCTACTACTACTACTAATTCTCATAAGAAGAATGGGGGCGTATGAGTAGGAGTAGGAGGAGTTGACAGGAGGAGGAACACGGCGATGAGGCGGATGCTCATCAGGCGGCGGAGCAGGGTGAGCAGGACGAGGCGGAGGATAACGACTATTGCGAACACCAATAAGCAACAACCTAGCACTAATATCACTAATGCTACGCGTACGGCTTACGAGTAATCCGCCAAATGCTAATACAGCATAATGCGAATCATAGTGGTGCTACTATTAAAAAAACAAGTGTGTAGTATTACGAATGATACTATGAAAGCTACGGCGACGACCCCGACACAAACTATTACTAAAACACCACGGATCAGACGGCGAATCACAATACTGACATCAACACCCATGATAATAATTAAGCTAATGCTACTAATCGACATAATGATACTAGCCACGACATAATGTAGATGATGAGGCTGATGATGATGATGATGATGATGATGATGATGATGATGATGATGATGATGATGATGATGATGATGATGATGATGATGATGATGATGATGATGATGATGATGATGATGATGATGATGATGATGAGGAGGAGGAGGAGGAGGAGGAGGAGGAGGATGACGATGTTGAGGAGAAACAGGAACACGAGGAGGACACGGATGATGAGGAGGGGGGAGGGAGAGGCGGGAGGAGGGGGAGGAGGAGGGGGAGGGAGGAGGAGGGAGGGGGGGGAGGGAATGGGGGGAGGGGGAGGAAGGGGGGGGGGGGGGGGAGGGGGGAAGAGGAAGGGAGGCAGGGAGGGAGGGGGGAGGGGGAGGGGGGTAGGGAGGGAGGGGGTAGGGGAGGGAGGGAAGGAGGGAGGGAGGGAGGGAGGAGGAGAGGAGGGGGAGGAGGAGGAGGACGGGAGGAGGAGGAGGAGAGAGGAGAGGAGGAGGAGGAGGAGGAGGAGGAGGAGGAGGAGGAGAGGAGGAGAGGAGGAGAGGAGGAGAGGAGGAGGAGAGGAGGAGGAGGAGGAGGAGGAGGAGAGGAGGAGGAGGAGGAGGAGAGAGGAGGAGGAGGAGAGGAGGAGGAGGAGGAGGAGGAGGAGGAGGAGGAGGAGGAGGGAGGAGGAGGAGGAGGAGAGGAGGAGGAGATGAGGAGGAGGAGGAGGAAGGAGAGAGGAGGAGAGGAGGAGGAGGGGAGTAGGAGGAGGAGGAGGAGGAGGAAGGAGGAGGAGAGGAGCGGAGAGAGAGGAGGAAGGATGAGGATGAGATGATGATGATGATGATGATGATGATGATGATGATGATGATGATGATGATGATGATGAGATGAGGAGGAGAGGAGGAGGAGGAAGGAGGGGAGGAGGAGGAGGAGGAGGAGGAGGAGGAGGAGGAGGAGGAGGGGGGGATGAGGCGGAGGAGGAGGAGGGGGAGGAGGAGGAGGAGGAGGAGGAGGAGGAGGAGGAGGAGGAGGAACAGAGTTGGAATTGGTGTTGGAGTTGGAGTCCCTGGACGTAGTCCTTCCAACAATCACTTAGACCTCTTCTGGGCTTTGCGAATTAATTCAGCTTTACTATAAACTTTGGGCCATTGCCCAAGCTCAATCAAACGAAGATACTCCCTCCTCGTGTCAGTGATGCGGGGGTCACAGGCCTCCTTGAGGCCTCGCAGCTGCTGATCCCTATACATTCCACATGTGGTACAAAACCAAATCTTTAATCCGGCGTGAAACCTCATACGGTGGGAGGGGTCCACGAACCCCCCAGCAATGTGAATGGTGGCCCCCTCAGGAAGTGCACGAAGAGAGCCATCTATAGCGACCAACTTGAAACACGGAGACTTACGCCAAGCCTTGACACGGGCAGCCGACGCGGACCCGCGACACCGCAGACAGCGCCGACCACATTCCGACAAGGCGTGGGCCGCCTCAAACACAGACATATCCTGGCTCGGAGGCGGGGGGGGAGGAGGAGGATCAGCAGCAGCAGGAGCAGGATCCCCGAGCTCCGCGCCTCGGGTGCCGACCTGTCTGGCCGATCGGCTGCAGCAACCTCTCCGCCTCCAGCGCGTCGATGTGCGACCTGAGGATCCTCATGCGGATGAGGTACAACACACGTTCCTTCTCCAAGAACCTGGACCGAATGGAGTCGGGGACGCGCGCCACTGCAGCGCCCTCACCAGCCAGAACATCAGCAGCAGCGTTACCTGCAGCCATTCAGCCAGCGCCCGCTCGACGGAGCACGATATCCTCAGCTTTCAGACGTGAGTTGGTGAACAACACCGTCACATGCTCAGGTCGCCGAGAGGTGCCACGAAACAACAGTCCTATCTTGGCCCACAACTCTGAGTGTTCTCCTGAGG